CCCCCTTATATAAGTCACTTCTTCTATGATGTTGTGAGAAAGCACGGGAGAAAATATATTATTGATGTATATTCATATGTTACAATGAGCCCTATATATATACACACATAACATGTCCTACTCCTAATATATATTGGACTAGGGTTATTTATTTACTCCTATTTACATGACTATTCTAACACTCCCCCTCAAGCTGGTGCATATAAATCATATGTACCGAGCTTGTTACATATGTAGTTAATACGAGGACCAGTGAGGGACTTGGTGAAAATATCTGCAAGCTGATCATTCGACTTCACAAACTTTGTAGCAATATCTCCCGAGAGTATCTTTTCTCTAACAAAGTGACAGTCAATCTCAATGTGTTTAGTTCTCTCATGGAACACTGGATTTGACGCAATATGAAGAGCAGCTTGATTATCACACACAAGTCCCATCTGACTAATCTCACCAAATTTCAACTCCTTGAGCAACTGTTTGATCCAAATTAGCTCACATGTCGCCATAGCCATCGCTCGATATTCTGCTTCTGCACTAGACCGAGCAACCACATTCTGTTTCTTGCTCTTCCAGGACACCAAATTTCCTCCTACCAAGACACAATATCCAGACGTAGAACGTCTATCAGAAGGTGATCCTGCCCAATCAGCATCTGAGTATCCAACGATCTGCTCATGGCCTCGACCCTCAAACAATAAACCTTTGCCTGGAGCTGATTTTATATACCGAAGAATGCGAACAACTGCATCCCAATGACTATCACACGGAGAATCCATAAACTGACTCACAACACTCACAGAAAAGGAAATGTCAGGTCTTGTCACTGTAAGGTAATTTAATTTACCAACCAACCGTCTATATCTTGCAGGATCGCTAAGAGGCTCCCCCTGTCCTGGCATAAGTTTAGAATTCGGATCCATCGGAGTGTCAACCGGTCTACAACCTGTCATTCCTGTCTCTTCAAGAATATCTAAGGCATACTTTCGTTGTGAGATCACAACACCTGAGCTAGACTGAGCGACCTCAATACCCAGAAAATACTTTAGTTTGCCCAGATCCTTAGTCTGAAAGTGTTGCAAGAGATGTTGCTTCAATTTAGTAATACCATCCTGGTCATTGCCGGTAATAACAATGTCGTCAACATAGACCACCAGATAAATACAGAGACTCGAGGCAGAATGCCGATAGAATACAGAGTGATCAGCTTCACTCTGAATCATGCCAAATTCTCGAATAACTGTGCTGAACTTACCAAACCAGGCTCGAGGAGACTGCTTTAGACCATAAAGTGACCGACGCAAGCGACATACAAGGCCACGAGACTCCCCCTGAGCAACAAACCCAGGTGGTTGCTCCATATAAACTTCATCCTCAAGGTCACCGTGTAAAAAAGCATTCTTAATGTCCAGCTGATAGAGGGGCCAATGGCGAACAGCAGCCATGGATAGAAAAAGGCGGACTGATGCTATCTTAGCCACAGGAGAGAAGGTATCACTGTAATCGAGCCCAAATATCTGAGTATATCCTTTGGCAACAAGACGAGCCTTAAGACGATCAACCTTACCATCCGGACCAACCTTGACTGCATACACCCAACGACAACCAACAGTAGATTTACCTGAAGGAAGAGGGACGAGCTCCCAAGTACCACTCGTATGTAAAGCAGACATCTCGTCAATCATAGCCTGTCGCCATCCTGGATGAGACAATGCTTCACCTGTAGACTTAGGGATGGAAACAGAGGACAAAGAAGATAGAAAAGCATAATAGGGTGATGACAAACGATGATAACTCAAACCGACATAATGGGGATTAGGATTAAGGGTGGCCCGTATACCTTTCCGAAGTGCAATCGGTTGATTAAGAGGAGACAAGTCCGCAGTATTAGCAGGGTCAGGTGCAGGACGTGAATCAGCTGGACCTGATGCTGGGCGCGGACGACGATGATATGTCAAAAGTGGTGTTCCTGTGGCAGGGAGTCTAGGAGGAGCCACACTAGACTCCTCAACGGCTGGAATGGATAAGACTTCTATAGCGGAAGGTGAAGGAGGAGCTATAGGAGACTCGGGTAAGACTTCTGTGGCGGAAGGTGAAGGAGGAGCTATAGTAGACTCCTTAAAGGTCGGTATAGGTAAGACCTCAGATATATCAAGGGGGTCAGAAAGGTCAGAAGAGGTAAAGAAAGGTTTAGACTCAAAAAATGTGACGTCAGAGGACATAAAGTACCTACGAAGATCAAGTGAGTAACAACGATAGCCCTTCTGAACACGAGAATAACCAAGGAAGACACACTTGAGAGCACGAGGAGCTAACTTATCTTTCCCAGGGGCTAGGTTATGAACGAAACAAGTGCTCCCAAAAACACGAGGGGGAACAGAGTATACGGGTGATTGGGGACACAATACTGCATACGGTATCTGATTCTGGATGGGAGAGGAAGGCATCCGATTAACTAAATAACAAGCTGTGAGAACTGCATCGCCCCAAAAACGCAGCGGAACATGAGATTCAATGAGAAGTGTGCGAGCAGTCTCAATGATGTGCCTATTCTTTCTCTCTGCAACCCCATTTTGCTGAGGGGTATAAGGACAAGAGGTCTGATGAATAATTCCTTGAGAAGTCATAAACTGCTGAAATTGAGAGGATAAATATTCTAAGGCATTATCACTGCGAAAAGTGCGAATGGAAACACCAAATTGATTTTTAATTTCAGCACAAAAATTCTGGAATATAGAAAACAACTCAGAACGATCTTTCATTAAGAAAATCCAAGTACATCTTGAATGATCATCAATAAAACTAACAAAATAACGAAATCCCAAGGTTGAACTGACTCTACTAGGACCCCATATATCAGAGTGAACTAAAGAAAAAATAGACTCTACGTGACTCTCAATACTACGAGGATAGGAGGCTCGGGTATGTTTCCCGAGCTGACATGACTCACACTCTAATGTGGATAAACTAGACAAACCAGGCACCATCTTCTGAAGCTTGGATAAGCTTGGATGTCCTAAACGTTTGTGAATTAGGTCCGGAGGATCTGTAACTAGACATGCCTTGGAGGATTTTAGGGAGTTAAGGTAGTAAAGCCCTTCTGATTCAAGTCCTGTTCCAATCGTCTGCCCTGTACTGCGGTCCTGCATAATAAAAGAATCATCAATAAAATATATACCACAATGGAGGGCACGAGTCAAACGACTAACAGATGCAAGATTAAAAGGACAGCCAGGGACATAGAGAACGGAATCTAGAGTGACAGAGGGTAGGGGATTCGCTTGTCCAACTCCTTTTGCTTTGGTTTGAGACCCATTGGCTAAAGTAACAGTGGGAAGAGACTGTGAATACGCAATATTTGACAAAAGTGATTTATTACCAGAGATATGATCAGAAGCGGCTGAGTCCACAACCCATTGTCCAGGAGGACTAGACTGGGAAACACAAGCAAAAGAATTACCAGCAACAGAAGTATTAGTCTGAGCAACAGAAGCTACTTGTGGAGATGTCTGCTTACTTGCTCGATACTGAAGGAACTCATTATACTCCCCTTCAGATAAAGAAAATCCCTGGTTACCTGTAGTCTCAGTCTGAGCAACATAAGCATTTTTGGTTGGGCGGCCATGTAAAGAATAGCATACATCACGAGTGTGTCCAAGTTTATGACAATAGGAGCACTTGGGTCTAGATCTTCCAAAACGACCTCCTCCTCGTCTATTTTCCATAGTATGAGATGCCCGATTGTCCACTGATTGGGATACGAGGACAGATGAGTCAAGTGTCTGTGATGAGCTCACTGGGTGACTAGGTGCTGCAGCAAGGCGAAGTAATCGAGAGAATAATTCATCAACTGAGGGGACGGTTGGACTAGCCAAAATCTGGTCACGTACTGAATCAAGGTCATTAGGGAGTCCAGCGAGTGTAAGAACTAGAAACATCTTCTGTCGTTGCTCTTGTTGTTTTTCAATACTAGCAGAAACTGGCATCAACGTCTCAAATTCTTCCATGACTGCCTGAACTTGTCCCAAGTAAGTAGACATATCTAATTCCTGTTTCTTCAAGCTTGTCATTCGCGATATTACATCATAGAAACGAGATATGTCATTAGTGTATAGATTACGAGCCTTTTCCCAAACTAAATAACATGTCTGGAATGGACGGAACAAGGGCATCAACTTGGAATCAATAGATCGCCACAGGATACTACATAACTGAGCATCGACCTTCTCCCACTGTGTTTTGGCCTTTTCATCACCTTCGCTAGCCTTTTTTGTTAAATGATCTTGAACTCCTTGACCTTTACACCACAACTCGACAGATGAAGCCCAATCTAAGTAGTTTGAACCTCCCATTAAAGGTTCTGAGGTAATCATAACACCGGAACTGCCAGAACCCGGGTTTCTAGACCCGAAAGCATCGACTCCCAAAGACATGGTTGGATTATCACCAAATAACAAAAAGAATCAACTGAAAATTCTCTGAAACAGATGAAGAAAACACTGTGTTTGCCGGAAAAGTACTGTAGCTGCCGGAAAAATCAGTGTAGTCGCCGGAAAAACTCAAAGTGGTCCGAATCAAACGAAAAAGGTATGGACAGACTCGGAATTACTAGGCGATCCGACTGTCCAACTGGAAGATTTTCAAAAAATGGCCGAAACAGTGCTCACGCGCCGGCGCGTGGGGGCGCGTGGGTCAGATTTGCCGGAATATCGCCGGCGCGTGAGGGCGCGTGAGGGGGTGTTTTCCGGTGGGGTTTACTGGGGTTTGGTCGCCGGAGCCTTGGGAACCCTGTGGTGGTGTTGGTTTTTGCACAACACTGATAATTAGTGACTTTGACGCAATTAGTCACTTAGGTCACCGGAAAATTGCACGGTAACTGAGTTGTTTCTTCCCGGATATCGTTGGAATGACGCACAACGATAAATTTCTCACGGTTGCTCTGATACCATGTGAGAAAGCACGGGAGAAAATATATTATTGATGTATATTCATATGTTACAATGAGCCCTATATATATACACACATAACATGTCCTACTCCTAATATATATTGGACTAGGGTTATTTATTTACTCCTATTTACATGACTATTCTAACAGATGTTAATGCCAAATGATAGCCAGAAAAAGTAGAGCAGTAGGGAACGATAACACCTAACCAGCCTGCCATATCACAAATATTTGTGCTATGATTAGTTATCTTAGTTTCCGATTTTAGCTTTTTATTGAATTGGTATACTTCATATGTAACTTTATCTTTGAGTGCTGTTGTTAACAACAACAACAACAACAAACCCAGTGTAATCCCACAAGTGGGGTCTGGGGAGGGTAGTGTGTACGCAGACCTTACCCCTACCGTGTGCTGGTAGAGAGGCTGTTTCCGATAGACTCTCGGCTCACTTTGAGTGCTGTTGTTGTATTACAGTATAGAATTGCAATCTTTACCCTATTTCCGAGAGTCGAGAGCAAAACATACTGGCTTTATGATTACTCGATAAAATTTTATTTGAGATATGTTCGTTGGATAATCAAGCTAAGGCAAAATGCATTTCTCTTTGTTTGTTAGCTAGCTGATCTCGGCCTCGAGTGAGGATATACTATGCTACACGAGTAGAGACGCAAGCTATTTGAGTTTGTTGGACTTGGCTTTGATGGGATAGATAAAACATGTGTGAGCTTGGTTTGCTTGATATACAGAGAAGTTGTAACTGAAACATTCGGTCTTTATCTTTTTGATAAATCAAAAGAGTTCATTTATACTTCAACGAGATGATATGATACTCACAAAGGTGTAGTGATCATGTGCATTGAGCCTCCCAAATTATAGCCAACTCTCAATAAAAGCTAGTATTTCCACTTTACACCAAAATTAACAGAAGAAATAGTCGTCCCTCCTTACCATCTTATATGGTGGTGCTTGACTGGACATACGTAATGTACCCTTAGATCTTGTTTTCTAAAACATGCCATGGCATTAATTTTTGTGGCTGAAAGATGTTAGTAAGGGTTAAATGGGAAGTTTACAGTTAAAAAGCTTCTAAATATAGAAAAAGGTGTCACTCTTTTCTGGAACATGCTATAAAAGAAAGAGTGCCACATAAATAGAACAAAGGAGTAAAAGATAATATTTTGACCCTCAACTAATGGTTGCTCTAGCCCTTCGAAAGTACTCCTATTTCTTGTCATTCTCAAGACCCAAAAAAAGAAGCAAAAGGAGCGAGTTTCTATAGCTTCTTTTTCTTTGTATCCACTTATTCAATATCCTTCTCACCATTGTCTCTGCTGATGTGAAAAAGGAACGAATTTCTACAGCTTCTTTTTCTTTGCATCCACTGATTCAATATCCTTCTCGCCATTGTCTCTGCTTATGCCCGGGGAAGTTCCCATTGAAGGTTGACCGTTGCAATCATGAAGGACCATAGTTCAGAAGCAAAAATACAGTGCAATAAAAGGTGGCCCACATAGAATTCCTTTTGTTATTTCACAGTACAACATTATTTCCAAGATATGGTATCATTTGGACGAACAACTTGAATCCTTTATGCATTTGACTATTTCTTGGCAACTAGAAGTTTATTCTCTTAAAACATGGACAGCTCTTAGAAAAACCCCGAACGCAAAAATGGGTCTTGATCCTTTCACCTATAATGCGCCAAGGTAGAAGTACTTTATGGGAAGAGTCATTCTTTGCATGAAAAAATTCTGGGTCATAGCCAGCTGCTGTCTGTATTTTTCGTTCAATTTGTATTTTTCATTCAAAAAAGATATTAATGGATAATTTCCTATGTTTTTATCAACTTCATATACTTATTAAGAAAAGTTTTTATCAAAATTTTCTGATGGATGTACACAAGTAGGAGACCAAGTCTAAGTTGAGAAGAGAAAGGATATCTTGATATAGCATATCATGTCTTTTCTATCTTATAATCCAACCTGGTGTCTTGAATGCTTATCACTTGGTTGGAGGTTAGAGTGTGAAGTTTGGTTGAATTATTGGCTATTTGATTGTTGTAGAGATATTTTACTTGCATAAAAAGTCTTGTGCTTTCATCATTTAATGGTGGAGATAATCAGAATGTCCTCCCCTGCACCATTCTTGTCATTGTTACTTGCGCAGGTTGCATTTTGTTTAAAGTGCCTATAATGCTGTCTAATTTATTTCAGGTCGTTCTGTAACTGCTGATAGTGGGAAGAAGAAAATCCTTCTCTTGAAGGGGAAGGAAAAAGAAGGTCCTAATGTAAGTTTTCCTTCTTTAGTAGCACAATGAGAGAGCTTTTATTTTTTTAACTATCTTTTGGGGGGGGGGGGAAGGGGGGGGGGGGACACAGAGAAGGGAACATTGAAGGGCCTTGGCACTTTTTTGCCTCTCTATACCAAGGGAAAATGATAGCATGTGCAGAACAGTTTCCATTTTATTGGTAAAGCGAATTGAGACAAAAGATACTAGATATTTCGAAGATTTTTTAGACCTATTGCTAATACCATTTAGGTTGAATGAATGAAGTCATCTGCTGTGTCGTTGCTCATATTCTTTGTTACCAACAATTTTTTAACCGGCTATGATCTATATGTTCATAGAATTTGCCGTAACCTCTTTCTATATAGATTTAATTGCTTCATTTTTGAGGTGACAAAATCTAAGAGTAGGCCGCTTTCCCGTTGGGTGACTATAATATAGTAATCTATTCTAAGTTGTTCGGACACGAGTGCGGATCTAGAGGTCAGATCCTTCGAGATGTAAATTCTAAGATTCGAGGATATGGATCCTAGTACAGATACGAGTGCGGGTATCCGACTAAAAATAATAAAAATATAAAAATATTTGTAAATTATGAAAATTTTTGTGGAATACTTACATATAGCTTGTAAAGTGTGGATGTATTTTTTATTCTCAAGTTGTAGATAAATAAAGGATTGATTTCCTAGATAAGGTACGCTATTTTCTTCAAATTAACCCTAGTTTTGGTTCTGATTTCGGGAATCAAATTGTATCTCGTCTCGAATTTTTTCATCTGTCGTGAGTCAAAGTACCCAAAATTATCTGACCAGATCTAGTACGGATCCCATACCCACATCCATACTAGTATTGTGTCGACATGGGTGCGGCACCTAAACTGCCGTGTCGGAGCAACTTAGAATCTATTTATTACCAAATTATATGGATTACCCTGACAGAGAAAAGGTGCCTTTCACGTGGTATTGTTCCCTGGAAGATGAAATACTTGGTGTAAACTTCTATATTCGGTAAAAAAGACAAAGTGATGTTCAAGATATTGTACTATATCTTTTATGGGTTTACTTGCCTGAATGAGAAAGTCTGGAGGCATGACATTCTAAAGCTTCTGGATTTTGATGTGATTATCAGATTCTGCAAGCTGTGGTTCCCCTGTTAGAGAGGATTATTGTCTCTACATAGTTGTTTAATGATGTTTTTTTTTCACTTGCAACTTTGTGTTACAAGGTATAACACATCAATATTTTCTCAGGTTATTCTTATTTCTTTAGGTTCGAATTTGTCTGCCACCTGGGACTTAGTCTTGTTTCTCTTAACTGTGTAGGTTTCTAGTGGTTCATTAGCTCAACAGAATGTGACATCTACTCTCAAGAATTCACCTAGTTCATCTGCACCAAAACAGAACCAGCGCCAAGAGGCAAGTGGCAGGATCATCAGAAGTATTCTTCTCAAGGATGCTCGGCAGAATCAATCAGCATCTCAGTCAGAGAATCAAATACAGGATAAGGACAAGAGACCTCCTCGGCCACCAAGTATGCAGTTGTTTCAGAAGGATACTAGTGGAGCTAATGAGGATAAGGTCGCTGGAAATGACTTGCATGTTGTCCACGTTGAGAAGCAAGAAAGACGTTCCAGGAATAGAGATAGGCCTGATCGTGGTGTTTGGGCTCCTCTTCGCCGTGCTGATAGTTCACAGGCCAGTGATGAACAATCTTCCCAAGTGCGAGATTTTGTTGAAGGTTGGTTAACTTGTATCACTAACAACTAATTTTGCCCTTTTTTCAGATGGATACATTCTCAAAATCTTCTGATTGGAAAATAAACTCTTATGATTTCAAAGGAGAGTGTATGCATCTTACCTCGTAATTGTAGCTAAATGTTTCACTGTATGTAAGATTACCTTTAGTTCAGTTTTTTCTCTTGAAATCATACTCTTTTTTTCTGGGGGTCAAGGAGAAGCGAAAAGTGATGTACCAATCGCGCACGGCTGTGAGTTCAGACTGATTCGAAGTGGGCGTAATTCTCATTCTTCTGCTGATAACGGATAGTCTTTTTTTTAAGGCCATGAGATGATTGTGCTGAGTTCGACATGAAATGTTATGCTTAATTTTTTCTTGTCTCGTAGCTATTGGTTCTTTTGTGGTTACTTCAAAAGTTTCTGATGAATCTAGGTAACTATAAACATGGTAGTCGTCGTGGTTTGAGGGATGCAGATGGACCTTCTGTTGGGGAAGGAAAACCCGTGAGAAAGGGAGGTACTTCTGCCTACAGTTCTCTTGAGGTCTGGTTTCTTTTTAAAGTCTTATTTTGTACTTATCTCTGCTTTTACTATGTACATTTACTAATGTGCTTGCATGGACTATGATGTAAATGCAGAAACAAGTGTGGGTTCAAAAGTCAAGTTCTGGTTCTTAGTTATGTTATTTAATGGTAAGTTTCGTGGTCCATGTGGTGTTTACTTTGTTTTTACTTGAATTTTCTTCTTCCACAGACATATTCGGCAAAAGAAGTGAATGTATGACACCCACCACTACACATTCCTAAATAGCTGACGCCTTAAAATATAAGGTTAACAGAGGGATTAAGTATTATGATATTTACTTCTTTTAATTTGATGGTTGGAAAGCATGGGACCATCTCTTTGGGGTAAGTGCTGTCTATTAGGTTAAGCATGCAATTTCATTTTGTTGGAACAAACAAAGGAGCAGTTTGTTTTCAACCATAGGCAACAATATGTGTGAGGAGTGATGGATGTGTCCTGGATTATTTTGCGGTTTTAGGCTTTGTCTAAGCAGCTCAGGGTAATGGAATTTAGTGGTCCATTTTTCTTTTATCCATCAGTAACTGGTGTCGGTTGAAAAACTGACACTTTTCCCTGTTACATTTGGTTTCCTTTGTACTTTTATACATTTTGTTGGTGTTGGCCTTACTGGCATTAACATATCTGCCACCAATATTTTTAAAAGGAATAAAGTGCAAAGACTGACAAGGCCAGGTGGGGATTTGAGTGAGAAGTGGCAAAGCACACAGATGAATTGCACAATTCACCAGAACTACAAAAAAATGTCTTTAGTACCAATAACATTAAATTGCCATTAAATTCAGTAATTTCGAGCGTCCATTACACAAAAACTACAATACTAATACAATAATTCAAAGTAAACCAATAAAATTTCAACAAGGACAGTGAAAGATAACTTCAATGGCAGAGTGAATTTTTCAATTTTAATCAAACGTCATTAAAAGAATTAAGTTTCATTTGTAATATTCAATATCATATATAATCTTAATTGCTTTAATAATTGTACCAAGAGAGTAGAAGGGAGAAGCAAGAGAGAAACTCAGAAACTGAAGTATAAGTAGATGACTCCCTATCCTAGAAGTAACAGAAGAAAAAACATTCTTTGAAGAATAACAAGAAGGAAGAAGCAAATCAAAAGCGGCGGAGAAACATAAGTAGTAGAAGAAGTGTTAGCAAACTCGAGAAAGATGAAGCAGACAGGATCACCAAAAAGACTGATGAAGTTTAAGTGGAGAAGAGTCCTATTTCTCAAACAACAATTCTGTTATTTTTCATCTTTAGCTGAATTCAAAGAAGCGAGTGCTTCTTATAGGGATTTTTTTACAAGGGTCTTATAGAGAGTTGAGCTAAATGAAGAAGTGAGGATTCATATAGCCGGTCCCAACTTGTTTGGGACTGAGCATAGTTGTTGTTGGTCTTATAGAATTGCTTAGCACCTCACTATGTGTAGTGTGTGCATCCTAAAGTTAAGTGCATTGTTTCTCCCATGAGGCGATGACCCCTCTCTTTGCATCTCTCCGTCGTTTTAAGCAACAAAATGATGGTTTCTAATAACACTGTTTGCGTCATGCTTTCTCATGGACTCTTCTTGACGGTTATGCATTTCCCTTATGGCTGAAAAGAAATAGTTGGATTCCAGACTAGGCTCATTGGTGGGTTTTATCAAATATAATTCTAAGATGCCCTTGTTTGAAAAGTTGAGTGTTTCTTGTCGTTTTTTTGGTCATAAAAGATTACTTAGCTTCATTACTGATTTGCAAAAGATACAGGGGGCAAGGTGCACTGGGCACCAAGGATGGCTGGTGTTACATGATTATCTACTACTGAACTACGATCCATTGCTGGATCAGTACTAGAACTACCTACTACGGTAAAGCTAGGATCCATAGAAGGATCCTAGTTGAGTGTTTCTTGTCTTGGTTACTCCAATGGTCACCAAAAATGTCAGTATTGCTATTTTGTATATTTTCTTCACATATCTTCGTCTATCTATTCCTCCATGCCACTTGGTTTGATTTAGGTACCTAGATCTTATTGGCAAGTTTAACAAGGCAAAACTGCCATCCACACGCACCCCCACAAAGGGAAAAAAACTCGTGGGCAGGGACAGGACCTAGTTGGGGGAAGAGAGAGAAAGATGGCTGCACTTGTTTTGAAAATGAACACTGAGAACTTTAATGCCTGATGTTTGGTTGTTTACAATTTTTTGATGTCTTCAATAGTATTATCTGGTGTTTCTACTTTATGATAAACTCTCATAACTTCAATGCATTTTATGTTTGATTGAGAAATTAACCATTTTTTGATGTCTTCAATTCTATTATCTGATTTTTCTACAGTGAAATACTTGGTTGTTTACCATATCAAGTATGCAACGATATAGTGGCTGGAGCGCTCTTTGCTTGGCAGAACAGGTGTGAGCAAGGTTGCTGGAGCAGCAAAGACCTCAAATGGAACTTCGATACACCAGGGTGCTACAGGCACTGGTGTTCACCTTAGAATTAATCTTTGATCAGATTGAATCAAAGATGGTCAGGAATAGGAGCACGAGGGAAGAAAGTCATTATAATGACATATCACCACAATTTTCGGCTGGCGTTCCTTGTGATGGCGTCTTTTCACCATCAAGAGCTGTGGATTCCTCGTTCCTGCCTTTGACTCGGCTGATAATCAAGAAAATATAGTTTCTTAGATGGCAACTTAGCTTTTGTTGAACTGTAAATACAAATGTGGGATCACGGGAAGTGCCCACACTACTTATTCATGTCTATAACCCCATATTAATTCTAGGCTTGACTTTGGAGATAGGGCTTGTTTGAGCTAGTTAATCTAAGCAAAATCCAAGCGCTGAAGCGTAGAACAATTGGATTCCCATTACTTGTGTGCTGTTGGGGTGTGCTAGGGTAAGGTTTGTTGGTAAAATGAAAGAGCATTTTGGTGTTGATCCATCAGCCGTCCAAAATAATAGTGCAGTTTATATATTTAAGCAATTCTGCATCTGTAGGTCGTTAATTTTTCATTTATTCGATTTACCTGAGTTGCTTTCAGTTCTTCCCCTTCCCAACAAGAGGAAGCTGAGGGCTGCTTGTTTCCAATATTTTGATAATGTGGTAACAAACGAGGGAAAGATCTCTTCTCATGTGAAACGTTCTGTTCAAGTCCATAGCCACCGAAAAAGTATGAATTTACACTTGTTTCCATGCAGAGGCAACTCTATTCGGACCAATTTTCCAATAAATAGACTTGAAAACACCTAGAAAACAGAGTTGCGATGGGTGCCTCCTACTAGTAATTTTGGTTTTAAGTCTCATTTTGCCACCAACAAAGACTGAAGTGCTTCAAATAGGGACAGCAATTTAGTGTATTCTAACTAGGAATTCAATAGTCTAAGTAGTAAGTTTTTTGTTGTCCACAGCTAATGGTATCATCACCTTGCAGGAAAGTGGAACATGCCAAAATTGACTACTTGCTCCATTTTGTTCATAGGTCGGAGCCAACCTTCAATCCCGGTAAACAATGTTTCAATGATCAAGTATAGATGGGTTGGAACCAAACTTCAACCCCGTTGAACAATATTTCTATGATTAGATGGGGATAAGATTAGAACTTGCAATATTTAGGAGTTAATAGATGCTTGGGATCGAAGATATAATAATTGCCTTGATGGATTAGCTTTTTGTGCTATAAATTATCCTCTCTTTAGTATAAAATAGATATTATTTTTATTCAGAAATGGTTAATATTGCGTTTAATTTAGTCCCAAGTTGGTAATCCATTGATAAAAGCTCACCATCGAATTGAAATGCACGGAGTTCAAATTTCAGTGACCTTATAGAATTCAAAATAGGCACCTCATTTATATTAAAATATCACTTTGTCACATCTCCTAATAGGTGAACTAGTGTAAATTGCGAGTCATATTTTGTCCAAATATTGCGTGCAAGTTTTAATTTTACGGTGATATGATGATAAATCTCCAAATCCTGTGTGCGAATGATAATTAGAAAAATATTAGCCCAACATTCACTTCTTAGGCCGCTCCTTTCCCGTAAAAATTGCACGGGGCGCCCTATTTGGTCACCCCCATTTAATCGGGAGAAATTCAAAAATAGCCACATTTATCACTGGTCGTTGAAAAATAGCCAAGTTTCAAAAGTCATCGAAATTTAGCCACTTTAAATCTGAGCGAAAACACTGTTCAAAATCCGGAAAAATACGCCCGCAAATTTTACGGGAGTTCCAGCATAAGTATGCTTGAACTCCCGTAAATTTTACGGGAGTTCAAGCATAACTATGCTGGAACTCCCGCAAATTTTACGGGAGTTCCAGCAAGTATAATTGTCCAGTATAATATACTGGAGTTTGGAGCACTGGTGCTCCAGTCTCCCGCAAATTTTACAGGAGTTAGCAAAGTATACCGGTCCAGCATAATATGCTGGAGTTCGTACACAAATGCACCAGAACTCCCGTATATTATACTGGACCGATCTCTGTTGCAGCAAAATAGTGGCTATTTTTCATTGACTTGATAAACGCTGGCTATTTTTCATTGACCAGTGTGAAAACTGGCTATACCATGATATTTTAACCATTTAATCTACACCTACTTTTTAAAAAAGTTTTAACTTGTACCCACTGCTTAAACAACTTCAGGCCTCTTTCTCCTCCTTCGTTTCTGAATGCTGAAGCTTGAGATATTGTTATGCGTTCTAGCATGATGCTTCATATATATTTGCTTGTCCCATTATGTTCAGTTTGGTCTTATTCACAATAATTTAACCTCTTAGATATTTTGGCTTTACAGGCACATTGATTTTTGGTTCTAATTTATCTGTAGTAACTTGTTTTCATGTCGAAAATATTTTTTATTCTTTAATCATTGAAATGAATAGCATCAATCGTTGCTAATCATGATTTATTAAATTCATTGTTGTTTAGAACTTCAGCTCTAAGAATGCTGAAGTTCAGTAAATACAATACAAACTTCAGCCCTAGAATGCTGAAGTTCATCACAAACAAAACAAAGCTTCAGCTAAAATATGCTGAAGTTCAGCAAATACAGAACAAAGCTTCAGCTAAAACATGCTGAAGTTTAGCAAATACAGAACAAAACTTCAGCTTCTAAAATGCTGAAGTTCAGTAATTACAAACAAAAACTTCAGCCAAAACATGCTGTAGTTTTATTGAACTGAAGTTTGCCACTTGGACTATGAACTGAAGTTTGCGTGATTGCCTTTGCAAGTCAGGCCAAACTTCATGCAAAAATATCTGAAGTTTTGCTACACTTCAGGCAAAACATTCTGAAGTTCAAACTTCAGCGGGTATAAGTTAAAAGGTGACCCAAAAAGCGGGTATAGATGCAAATGCCCCTCCTTTCCCATCCTCCGCCAACAGTACTATGAAAGATCTATTAGATAACAAATTATTGGTTCTAAGCCATCTCTTTGAGGATTGATTAACACTTGAAGTGTTTTTCTTGCTTATACGTGATAATTAGTGTTTATATTTACCTGCAAATAATTCTTGGCATGAAAAAGGGACAATATTTGAATCACAAAAAGAATGGATAAGCAGGGTTTCATTTGAATTGGCTTGTTTGGAAAATGTTTGTCCTTTTGTTGAGAAAGAAGATCTGGTTCAACACTTAAAAGAGCTATATTTCCTTGTCAACTCATTTTTCTCCAATTGGAGGAAAATATTTTCCCTATCAAAAGAAGGAAAAATATTTTTCAAAACTCTTTTCCAATATTTCCTACCCTATTTTCCGTCCCCACTGTTAAGTCAAAATCTAAGTTTCAATGATGACAAATTTACTTACCTTGTTTTGCAGAAATCAGGAATCAACAAAAGGAAAGAAAACTAATGAGAAGCTATCCAAAGATGTGTTGCTGAATTAATGGACAAGAAAAAGGAATCCAAATCTATCATATCCTTTCAGCCTCAATCGAAGGAAATCAAGACTACAAATCAAGGAGCTATTTCCAGCAAATATCCGGTATCCTCAATTAGCTCAATCGAAGGATCAAATTTCTCCTCAATGTAAGATCGTGACAAGGAAAGTCATGAACGAATCCGGCCTTTCCCAAGAGCAGGATTCGAGAGGCACCCCTTGGGTCAAATCCCTTTGAAGATCCCGTGCCTCTAACTCAGTCAAGGTTCAACAGCTCTCAACTCTCCTATAAGAAATCTGCTAAGAACAAATGGAAGTTTTGCGCAACTACAAACATTATTTTCGAAATCTCTCTACTTCTTAACCTAAACACTGTATTCCTCAATTTATTAGTGTTACAAAAAATAGGAAGAGTTAGAACACAAAAGAGAGTTGTGTCATTATTCAAGATACATTGTTGCTATACTTCGTTGATGGTGAACGAATTAAAAACATCCTTGTTGTAATTACTCTCAAGATCTAAGGGAACCCTTGTGACCCAAGAGAAACTGGATGTAAGTACCACACCGGTACCGAACCAGTATTGAAAGTGTTGTGTGTCATTCTCTTTCTATTTACTGTTATTTTTCCTTCTGCACGAAATCTAGTCAACTAAAATCATCGTTAGTCGACTATTTTTTAATAGACCACAATTCACCCCCCCTCTTGTACTTTCAATTGGTATCAGAGCAAGGCTCACAAACTTTGCTTAACAGCTAGTGAGGAAAAGATCATGGGATCAAACACAGTTATTGGTGCATTATTTCAAGAAGGAACCTCTCAAGTGCGACCACCATACTTCAACGGACAACACTTTTCTCATTGGAAAGTGCGTATGAAAACATACACCATGTCATATGACATCTAAGTTTGGCGGGTGATCAAAAAGGGAAATCTTCCATTTTCCCCAAAGAAAGATGAGAATGGTCAAGTAATAGTATCTGTTGATACCCACTTTTTCCCTATAATACTTTTAAAGTACATATATACTTTCAAAACTGTGCATAGCATCATTTGATATTTTTTCATAATTTCTATATTTTTAAATTAATTTTATCCTAGTATTTTATTTACATAAATAATTACAAATCGCATCACAAATGGCTTTATAGCATTTCATGACTTAATATTGCTATTTATAGTTATATTAAGTTCTAATTATTTCACAAATGGCCAGATTTACACCTTTTGGTTACAATTGCACTAATTTTGCAATTATAGCCCATGTACACATCACTGCATTATTTTACCAGAAATTGGTCCATTATATTTTTTAAATGTTGAATAATTATTTTAAAGCACTTCCATGCATACAAATCATTTTTTGTAATTAGTTAATTATTATACAAATTAATTTTATTCAATTACTTTGGGTATTTAATAATACATCCTCTTTTATTTCAATTTTAGCCTAAAACTAACCAGCCCAATACCCCTTATAAAATTAGCCCAAACCCTTAGGCCCAATTCCCTACCTGCCCGACCCAAACCCCTTGGCCAATCCTGGCCGTTGATCATTTTTGATCAACGGTCCAGGACTCCCCTACTTTAATTAAACCAAAAGACCCCCCTAACCCTAACCATTTCCCCCTTTCCCCGCCGTCACTCCTCTCTTCGTCTCTCAAACGCTCTCTAACAGAAACCCTAATCCCCCCCCCCCCGCCCCACCGTCACTAGCCTACTGCCGTTCTATGGTGGTTCTTCACCACCTCAGGCCTCTAATGGCCTCCTATATGCTATGGTATCTCCATCTCCTAGATCCTTGAGGAGATTCCCAAGGGACCAGGGCAAGTCTGCTTTACACCCTTTGGGTTTTCTTGCCTATTTCAGGCTATTTGGCTCGACCTTGAGTAAGATCTTTCTCATTTTCGTCTTAAATCCATGGTTTCCTAAGTCTATGACCTCATCTCCTTTCTCTCTCCTCTCTCTTTCCCCGCGTACCTCTCTCTCTCTCCTTTCTTTCTCCTTTCTCTCTCCTCGCATACCTCTCTTTCTTCCTCTTTCTTTAAACCCTATCAGTAGCTAGGCCGGCGTCCGGCGACCCACCGGCGCCGTCTCATC